TTTGATCAGCAGAACGCTGTGTGACTAGCCATGGTGGCTTGTCTCAGGGTTTTGTGTTTAGATTGTGTGTGTGTTGGGTGTAACAGTGAGTTTATGGTATACTGTTATAAATGTATAATAGTAGATTAGACACACGTTTACTTATTATCACTTTATTCTGCTTTTATTGTCACTCAAGGGTCAACTATTGTTACATTTTGTTTATATAGCAGCTTTACAGAAATCCAGATGTAGATTTAGATCCCTAATGAGCAAGCCAGAGGTGACAGTGGCGTGGAAAATTCCCTGACCCTACTATATGTCCACACTAACAAACGCTAAGTCACTTGTAGTTTGTCTCGTGTACATGTACCGACTGCTATGGTTGTCAGTTGTGGGCGTGCGCTGTCCAGGGTTTTTTTGTTTGTTTAACTAGCAAACTAGTTAAACACAAATTAAATATGCATTAGTCAGTGTTAAAATTAGCTGTTTGGTTTACGTGTTACATGCTCGGATTTATACTAGCTAACAGTACTAGCTGCACACTCTCACCAGGGACACCAACGATCTCTGCTACTTCCTTCCCAGCTGTGTTTTTCTTCGTAGCATGTCTATACACATTTTATGAGAGGTCATATAGTATATGACAGAATAAGATGAAACCACATTTATAAGGTTTTGTTTTGTTTTCATTTTTGCATGTTAAACAGTAAATGGGAAGGCTGTAAATGGGGAACTGAAGAAACATCGGACCACATGTGCCGTAGATACAAGGTCCAAGGAATCATTCGAGCTAATTGTTTGGGTTTGTCACTTCACCATGTCACGCCTGATATGCAAAAATTGAGAAAATTTCAATTCAAATGTCACTTGCCATGTTGTTGCTTGCCACTATCACTGAAATCTTGACTAATCTGCGAAACTGCGTTCAGCTAAAGCTTGTAACATGGACATTTTCAACCTCCAACTAGGAAAATTCAAAGAAAATGCCCCTCAACTCAAAATTCCTACTTGGAAATTCGAGTTCAGCACATGACGTCAAATCAACCTGGCCGCTCACAGCAACAACAGTAAACAAAGTAGCATTTTTAGTTGATCTATGCTGTAGATTATTTGCTATTTGCTTTCGATCAATCAACATACAGACATATTCGCTTGGTAAATCTGTAACACTGACTATACAGTTCTCTGTTTAACGTCCACTAACGTTAGCCGGCTAGATTGTTGCTAACAAAAGCCAAACATGGAAGCATTTATGTTTTTTCCAACTTTGTAGCTCATGACAGTGTGATCACTTGCTATTGTGATCATACAGCGAGACGACATGAGGAAGAAACCTTGAAAGGAACCAGACTCAAAAGGCTTGGGTATAAACTGTTGGATATATTCAGGGTATCCATGTGGGACCTCTATGGGAAAGGCACTAACACTAATTTCATGAAACAACCCCCTGAGTATCGGATTGCCTCTACGCTACAGTCTACCGAGAGCTTCTCTGCCGTCGCTCAGGCATAGTTCGTGTCATTGTCCGATTAAACAAGTGTGATTAGAAAAGAAAGAGTGCTCATTACAATGCAAGTGTGGCTGTATTTGTTATTCACCCTCTTTCAAGTTCGCCGAAACTGTCAGATCAGTGCAGAACAGAGGCCAGCGTTCAGTGCTGGGAGACAGACCAGAGTCATTATACATGCTGTGCACTTTGTGGACTTTGGATTCATTAAAACGAGTTCTAAAATGTTGGTTTAAATCCTGCTAAGGCAAACTCCGGCTTTGGATATGAATTATATGAATTTGATAGAAAGATGGTCAGCGACTGCTTGAAGAAGGAGTCACTGCTGCAGTGTAGATTAGAGACGCAGACTCCTGTGATCAGTCAGCTGAAAGGTTGACAATGATGAAACTCTGAATAATGATGAGTCTTGGTTTTGCTCGGAGTACAGTATTGAAAAGCCTGAGATTTCTAGACCACCAGTTTGGCGGAACTTCGTGAGGTTGACGCAGCTTTGATGGGTTTAAAGCGTGAACAGGCTTGTGTGGGGAGACGAATCAGTGTAATCTGTTTTCTGGAATATTCTGAAAGTAAAACATTCCTCGGTTTAACATCTCAGGTTGCTATAGGGGACCACCTGGGGTAGTGAATCAGCTGGACAGTTTTAGGGCCTTCACACATTACTACTATCTTTAATCTATCACCCAAAGCAATACCTAGCATACAGGCATATTTCACATTGATTCTGGACAGAATTATTTATTTCAAGTTGTAAACACTGATAGATTACCCAGCTGAGTGGGGAAAATATCAGAAAACGATACCTAATTATGAGCATGAGTGCACTGCAAAAACAATTTCAGCAAGTGAAAATATCTTGAATATACTGTATGTAGTCAAATGTATCTAGTACTTCCTATTATAAGAAGACAATAAACCAAATATAATATTATTAAATAATTCTAGATATTTTAAACCAATTTTAAGCTTGATATAGGCTTGTTCAATTGGCAGTTTTGGGTTTTTTTGGGTTTTTTTTCAAATTTTAAGCATTAATTTCTTGAAAGAAGCAAAATTATCTGCAAATAGAAAACATAACTGGAACTTGAAATGTCTAAAAGCATCTCCAAACATAAGAAATAATCTCATATTTGATTTATGATAATCTCATCATAAAAAATATTTGAGAAATTTGCCCATATTCAAGATACTTACACTTAGTAAGATCATTTTTGTGGTCGATTGTGTCAAAATTGGGTCACTCAACTAAAAGTGGATGCAACTAGTCAAAATGATCTACATTTGAATGCACTGGAGTATTTAAAATTAACATGTAAATGATTTTAAATGAAATTAGAAGTCAGGACATTTTCTAACATGTAATCACAGTTTATACTTTTGTTCTGACTACTTTTGTATGCAAAGAAAAAAGAAAATCTAACCACCTTACACCTGCTGATGTGAAAGAGATCAGGTTCTTATTTCATTTCAGTAATGAACAAAAAAGAACAAGTCTATTTGTGGTATGGACTTGATTGTTTGACTGTTTTAAATATAGTTTAAAACAACAGTTCTGTTGAATTCCTGAATCTGGATTTTTCTCTATATCTATTTCTCATTCAAATATGTTAGCAGTTCTATAGTAACAGTTCTATAGTAATAGTAACGCTGCTCATGCTGTGGCACATTTGGAGGAAAGCGCTATCAACCCTCTTCCGCATACATGAGCTCAAAGACGCCTGTGATTGGCTAGTGTTGCTGATTGACAGGTGAAAAAGAGTATCCCCCTCCCATTCAGAGAGCACGGCCTATTTTGCTCTTTCATCTCCCAGCTACAGATTTTTGTGGCATTGAAGGAATTTGCAATCTTCCAACAATAGGGTGAATGTTTTGGTTTTTTTTTTGCATATAATTTAATTTAATTTACATGTTGAAAGAAAAAAAATAAGCGCTGTTTAAAGTCAAACATATAACCACTAATATGACGAAGCTTTCTGCAAGATGTTTATAGAAAGAGAATCGTAACAATTAATTATTAAAAATTAATTCTAGTACTTTCTATTTTTGCTTAATAAAGTAGATTTATTTAAATGCCTGTAGATATGTATTAAGTCTAGACGGCACTAATTTGGCAGGAATCAGTCATAACAAGCAGAAAGAAACTCTACTACATCCTTCTGTTATAATGTATAAAATCATTCTTGAAGCATATGTGACAAGGCACCTGTGGTGTTTTTGCCCTGTGCTTATATCTTTCACGGTCTAAGCTGTCAGAAGTCAGAATGTTAATGCAGAAAACAGAAAGATTTCCACCACATTTCATCATACCTGTGTTTGAAATGAGTGCCAAACCTCAAACCTCCAGGTTCAGGTGATCTCCCACTATTTCACACAGCCGTTCTCTGTGTGGCCATTTCCTGTGTGTGTGTGTGTGTGTGTGTCTTCCCGTTTGTCTACAGCACCATGGCTAACATGTAGCAGAATCTGTCCATGTGTGACAGCGCTAATGAATGTACTAATGGTACTTGTTGCGCTTTGTGCTTATGGCTCCCTTTCCCCTTCCTTGTTGTTATTTGGCAATTGTTTACAATCCATTAGCATTTACTTCCTGCTCGAACGACACGTGTGGAGCCATTTTGCCGTCACCTGGCGAGCACAGGGAACAGCGACGGCGCTGGGTGTTTATTTAATGTGTCGATGGCGGCAGCAAAAAAGAGGTAATTGAGAATTGATTTGACCGTAATGACTTTTCATATGTTCCCTGCAGACTGCTGATGCATACTGATTAAGCTGTGAGATGGCAATTTGCCACTTAATGGGGTCTGCCCTTGTCCTTTTGCAAGACAAACCACCCATGGATAATGTGAGGGGATAAAAGAACTACGCTCTAAAAAAAAAACATGCTCATCAGAATCACTGTATAGTAGCTTTTTTCCCTTTTCTTCTTGCTGTGATTTGATTTGTTCTTAATTTGTTATTTCAGAGCATTTGATCAGATCAGCTTCTTAGAGAAGGAAGGGTCGGATTATTTCCAATAACAGCACATCCTGAAGTGTTTTATTCCTCTTATACCACAGCAATTTGCCAACTTTTTATTTTATTTATTAAAAAAGCAACACAGATTTTATAGATTTTATCCATTTATTGTCATGTTTAACGTTGCAGAATATCTGCGAAACCAGTTCACTCCTGTTATCACTATTCTCCCTCTTTAAGTTAATGCAAAGAATAAAATGCAGCTTGTCGTCTTACCGAGAAACCGCGAAGTCCTGCATCCAGAAGACTGAAAGGCCTGTGTTGGAAAATTGAAAGTTACAGCTTCACCTCTGACAGGCTTAGTTTTACATGGTGCTCTGGATAATACTATCCTTTAGAGAAGGCTGTATTTGTTACATATACATTACAGTGCAGTGAAATTCTTTTCTTCACATATTCTAGCTTGTCAGGAAGTTGGGGTCAGAGCACAGGGTCAGCCATGATATGGCACCCTTGGAGTAGATAGGATTTAGGGCCTTGCTCAAGCACCCAACAGCGGCAGTGCTGGGGCTTGAACCCCTGACCTTCTGATCAGTAACCTGGAGCCTTAACCACTGAGCTACCACTGTCCTACATGTTCTACTCCGTGATCTAATTTCAGGATCGAAAATGCCTGTGTTTTTCCTTTCAAAGTCCAGTTACAAAAAATTCCTTGTTTACAGAGGTCCACATAAGCAACTAACATGACTGAATGCAGAAAGAGTTACTGTTTAAAAACCTAGAGACTGAACTATGGCCCGTACTCGATCCGAGCCACTGATTCTGCGGGGTTTGCATTCAGATCACAGTCCACCAGTGTTGTATGTGGAGACCTTTGGGATTTTACAAACAGCTTGTCATGAATTCTCTCTCTCAGTCCAGTGTGCGCTGCTTGCTTTTGTCTTTCATTCTCCATGTGCCTTTGTTTTTGTTTTGCCATGTGTCTTTGTTTTGTTTTGCCTTGTACGTTTGTTTTGGTTCCAGTCCTTTCTTTGCCATGGGTTTCTTTCCTAGTGTGTGCACTTGTTCTGTGTTCAACCTTTAACTAGTTTGGTTATTTATGCCCTGTTATCTCCATTCCTCTTTGCGAAGTCTTGCCAATTGTTTTTGTGCATTATACTTATTTTCTTCTGATTTTCTTTCTGGTTTTCCAGTGTCCCTGTTATCTTTTTTTAATTCTAGATCCTCCTTCTTTGATGTTGACATCCTGTTTATTGACCCACGTTACGAACTTTCGTTATGATTCGTGGATACGCACTCGTGTATATTACACAGATGTTGCGTGTTGCGTTGAGAAACATTTCTGACCACTGCTATCACGTTATCTCAAAATGAGGTCAAGCGGAAAAAAAAAAAAGAACAAAGTGTTGATCTGATTAAATGAGCTATTTTAGGTCTAGGCGACTTGTACGCAGTTAATCAGATCAGTCAATCAGTAAAACTATATTACTGTCTGTGACACAAACATTCATCTTTGCACGGAAACTAAAGCTGATGAAATCTATTTCAGTCTGTATTTATTCAGAGACGTGCGCGTGCAAAGTTTTCTATCACAGAGGGGACATATTAAATATTTAATTACATTCATGACCCTGAGAATCGAATATTGCACTAAAACTTCAGACAGCATGCCCTTGTTTTCTGTTTCACTTTGTACTTTTTTTAAATATTGTTTTCATTTATGTGTGAACCAGAAACTGTATTTTAGATTCCTTTATAATGACAAAATGTCATGCAGTGTAATAGCACAGCCCTATATTCTGGAATCCAATTCATTATAAAATAGGACAAAAAAATCAATGTGCATTATTCTATTTACTACTCTAGTAAATCTTTTAAGCCTCGATGCAGTTCACTATAAATAATGTTGTTTTTTGTAATTATGCTGTCCTCCTTTTGGGCATTTGAGGAAAAATCCAAACACTGCTTCTGCTTGTGGAGAGTTTTTGGTTCTAACCGTAATGTAATAGCCCTGATTTAGCTAATCAAAGCCTTTGAGAGCTTTTGAATATTAGTTCAGTGTTGTATTAGATGTGTGAAGTTCATTATTTTCTTAATCATATTAGTAAGCGAAAAACATCATGGTTATATAACGACATTTTAAAAATAAACCTAGTGGTTATGCACAAAATGAGTTTTCCAATTAGTGTAATACAAAACTTAACAGGACACACACACACACACACACACACACGCCCACTGTTTCTGTCATTTTTATTTTGTGTTTTTTGTGTATGTGTTTTATTACAAGCATACTTTGATGAAGAGGACAATCTGTACAGTGATCAGCGGTTAAGTGAGTCTCATTTGTTGTCATATACTGTATGTGTGTGTATGTGTGTGTGTGATGTGTTTTGCTCATGTCTGTGGTTAATGCGGTACATAGACGTCTCTACTCACGAGTGATTTTAATCTTGACTTCTTGCCATAATGAGAAGCAGAAAGAAAAATGGAAGCGGCCACAGCGCAGCGCTGTAATCCTAACGGCTCGCTCGGCTCCGTCCCTGATGAGCGCCGCAGTCGGTGGCAGATGGATGGCTCCCTCCATCATAAAGCTCTCATTAGAAACTTCATTAATCACAATGCTTTGAACAAACCCAAGGCCAATTAGCCACTCTTGGCACACCGCCAGGCTTCGGGGTCCATCTCTCGCTCACTCTGTAAAGATTATTTGGACAAAAATCTTTTTTTCCCCACTCCAAGTGGCACTCTAAAGCCATCACTGGGCAATTTGTGGAAATGTCTTTGAGGAATTTGGCTTTGTTTTTGCGTAAATGAAAAAGGAATTATACCTTTTCTATAACACATTAAATATGTTTATACTGAAATATCCGTGATGTGCTTAGCGATTCTGGTGCTAGTTTGTTGCTTGGTGCTGTATTTTTGTTATTTGTTATTCCTGTGAGAAGTTAGCGGTTCTCTGCTGCTCTCTCTTCGTTTCTCACTCATATTCCAGCGTCCTATTAACGACATTGACGCAAACGTTGGACTCAAAGATCCAGGATTCAGTGCAGCTACAGTATACGCTGCAGTAGCGCTGAGTTACGGCTTGGCTAGTTAGCTATCTTCGAGATGATGAGTGGGTTACCAACCAACATTCAGCTTTGGAAGCTGATCTCTGTTGATCTGCTTGGTAAGGCATCATACTTGCCTATCTCAGTAGGAGCGACCATTTGCACTGCCTTAATCAAGCACTGAAAGACTAAAGCGCCGCCGCATCACTCTCTTTAGGTAGAGACGGAGAGCTAAAACACAGGTGAAATCCTGGTGCACCACTGTCAACAGGTAGTCAAACGGCATTGTGGGTAATGTTGGTAATAGGGAAGCATTATAAAACATTTTCGTAATAAAGTAAGTCTTGAACGCCAGCGAATTGAACGCCGCATTTCAATAATAACGATTATTATGCAAGTTGTTCAGGGTGGACTGTCTTTCTGGAAAAATCCATATAGCAATCCATATAGCATTCCTCACTCTTATGACTACATATTTTCCCCTATCAGTTTCACTGTATTTATTGCATCTAACTTCTTATAATGAACAACTGAGTAAGAATCTTGGAATTTAAACGGTTAATCGAAACTAACCTATTTATACAAAACTCATTCTGAGCCATGACTATAGTTTTAAAAGTATTTTTTTTTTACCAGTATGTTTGCTTTTACACATTTTTTTTCTATTTCCCCAATCATTTAGCCACGGTCACCCGATCTGGTAAAGGGCTCTACCCTGGGCATTTTACCAATATTTTATAAGCTCCAATCGTTCCATTATTGTATTACTACAGCAGATTTCAGCAGCTGTCAGCTCGCCCCGTGGGTCAAAATGGGAAAGGAGGAGGGGTTGTAATGAGAGGCAGAGTGGCATTTCCTGTGTGTCATAGCATTATTGAATTTTTACTTATGCATTCAGTATTGATTCTCCATCTTTGTTAAAGGCTAGCGGTGTAAGTGCAAGGTGTCCAGGGGATTCTGGGTAAATGCTTATGTGGCGGAGAGAAACAACAAAACGCTTTGGCCAAATGACCCTCTGCTGAGTGATAGCGCTGCTGCAGGAGAGTCGCTCTGTTATTCTCCCGTGTGTGTGTGTGTGTGTGTGTGTGTGTGCGCATACAGCCCGTCGACCTCATGCGGTGCCTTAACAACCTGCTAGAACACTGGTCAGCACATTCATTTGGGATTGGTGTGTGTGTGTTTGTGTCTGTGTGTGTGTGTGTGTGTGTGTGTGTGTGTATATTCAGCACTAAATGAGCAAGGCTTTTCCAGTCAGCATGGCTATATCCCTCCCTTCTCTCTCTCTCTCTCTCTCTCTCTCTCTCTCTCTCTCTCTCTCTGGCCTACTTTATCTTGTCTTTATCGGCATCCTCTATTAATCACTTTATAACCGAGTTCTTTAGTTTTTAGGACAATCGTATATGTATAGGTTATAGGAGTTATATGATAGAAAATTCAAACCAGCTGCATGTGTGGTGCTATTTTGCTATTTCAGAAATTCCTCACTTTAAAAAATGATGCTTTAAGCGTTCTTCTATGAATCACACTTTGTTTTTGGACAATCTTCTATATAATATCGATGTAACCAAATACAAATACATTACTGAACAGATAATACGTTCTAAACGAATACAATTAGAGATATGAATAGGAGGTGCACTTTATTTTTTTTGTGACAGGTTCACAGATCATCTGGAGGTGTTTATGAATTAAATAAATAAAATGTACTTTTATTTATAGAGCCATATAACTCTCTAGTGTGTCTTGTAGTCTCTCTACTTAACCCACACAGACCACACACTGTGTATAGGGCAGTATATCTTTGCTGCAATCTCCAAAAAATAATCATTTAATTAAAAAAAATATTATTAACTTCATGCTTGTGTTTTTTGTCGTTTATAAAAGAACATTTTCCATCATTAGGGAAAGAAAGTCTTTACAGAATATCACACAGGCATTATAATGAAGTTTTGACTAGCATCTTCATAGTAGAGCAAACATTTTCTGATCTTTATGACAAACCCAGAAACTGAAGTACATCTGATAAAATAATTTTGTCTATAATCAACAGTTCCTTGATTTGGGAAAGGCTTCATTTGTTTGGAAAGATATTTCCCTAGCTTTCTAGATGGAAGGTTTGCCAGAAAGTTCCACAGGACGTGATTATGAACTCGAGTGATGTAGCTGAGGTTGAGGAACTTCAGGTGTTGTTTTAAATACATATTCTATTTGTAAAAATTCCTTATTTCCTTAACAAAAAAATGCTTTAGCCATAGTTAGGGGTTTTTATTTAATTTAATCAAAAACATGTTGACGGCATTCGGACAAAATTCCCTTTGAATCGCTTTGGTGCTTCAGTTCCTGTAAGTAGTTAAACATTCTACACAGTTACACTCTTCTTTTTTCCCATGTACCACCTGTAATTCACATGTTTATGCAGCTACAATACTCATTATATTATACTGTACATAGGCTGCTACTTATGTTTACACTATTTCAGCTACTTGTATTGTACTCTTGTACTATTTGCACTATTGTCACTAGGTTCACTTTAAACAGAACTGTGTACTGGTCGGCGCTGCACTGGGACTTACTATG